GGAACTCACCTAAGATTCCCGCCTCCCCCCCCCTTAAAAAAAAATTACATTCCTATGCATATAGTGCAGTGCAGGGTGTGTATAATGAATGTAGTGTGTTTGTAGTGAATGCAGAGTGTGTATAATGAATGCAGTGTGTTTTTAGTGAGTGCAGAGTGTGTACACTGAATGCAGTGTGTTTGTAGTGAATGCAGTGTGTAGTGAGTGCAGAATGTGCATAATAAATGCAGAGTGTGTATAGTGAATGCAGAGGGTGTATAGTGAATGTAGTGTGTTTGTAGAGAGTGAAGAGTGTGTATAATGAATGCAGTGTGTGCGTGTGCTGGATGATGTGTGTGTGTGTGCGCGCTGGATGACGTGTGTGTGAGTGCTGGATGATGTGTGTGTGTGCTGGATGATGTGTGTGTGTGTGTGTGCTGGATGATGTGTGTGCGAGTGCTGGATGATGTGTGTGCTGATGATGTGTGTGTGTTGGATGATGCGTGTGTGTGTGTGTGTGCGTGCAGTGTTGATGATGTGTGTGAGTGCTGGATGCATTATGTGTGTGTGTTGGATGATGTGTGCTGGATGATGTGTGTGTGTTGGATGATGTGTGTGTGTGTTGGATGATGTGTGTGTGTGTGTGTTGGATGATGTGTGTGTGTGTGAGTGCTGATGATGTGTGTGTGATGGGATGTGTGTGTGTGAGTGCTGGATGATGGGTGTGTGAGTGCTGGATGATGGGTGTGTGTGTGCTGGATGATGGGTGTGTGTGTGCTGGATGATGGGTGTGTGAGTGCTGGATGATGGGTGTGTGTGTGCTGGATGATGGGTGTGTGAGTGCTGGATGATGGGTGTGTGTGTGCTGGATGATGGTGTGTGTGTGTGCTGGATGATGGGTGTGTGAGTGCTGGATGATGGGTGTGTGTGTGCTGGATGATGGGTGTGTGAGTGCTGGATGATGGGTGTGTGAGTGCTGGATGATGTGTGTGAGTGCTGGATGATGTGTGTGTGAGTGCTGGATGATGGGTGTGTGAGTGCTGGATGATGGGTGTGTGAGTGCTGGATGATGGGTGTTTGTGTGAGTGCTGGATGATGGGTGTTTGTGTGAGTGCTGGATGATGGGTGTGTGAGTGCTGGATGATGGGAGTTTGTGTGAGGGCTGGATGATGTGTGTGGGGGGGGGAGGATTTTTTTTAACTTTATATATTTTTTTATTTTATTCCCCCCTCCCTGCTTCTTACCTTGTCAGGGAGGGGGGAGATCGCCCGGTGGTCCGGTGGAGGGAGCCAGCCGCTGCACACAGGGGCCATCACGCAGTGTTCCCTCTCCAGCTCTAACTCTCGCGAGACTCGCCTGTGCGGAGCGTTGCCATGGTAACAGCCGCGAGTCTCGCGAGCGTTATAACTGGAGAATGAACACAGCATGTGATGGCCCCTCAGTGCAGGGAGCAGGGCCGGTCCTGCAGGACAGGTAACGGGAACGGCGTTCCTGCTATGGAAAAAGTGCAGGAACGCCGTTCCCATGCGTTCCTGCAGGACTCGAGCCCTGGCCGGCTGGCACCATCGCTGCCCCCAGGAGCAGGGGCCACAGGGAAGGCCCCAGATGGATGAAGACAGGCTGCGGGGGGGAGAACCCACACCGGCATCCACCATGGGAAAGGGGGGGCAGGGGCAACAGGGAAGGCCCCAGAGGGACCCAGGCTGCGGGGGGAGCACCCACACCGGCAGCCACCATGGGAGAGGGGAGCAGGGGCCACAGGAAAGGCCCCCATGGGACCCAGGCTGTGGGGGGGGGGGAGCACCCACACCAGCAGCCACCCCAGGGGAGAGGAGAGCACCTGAATCAGGAGTCACCGGCCACCATCCACGCTGCAGCAGCTCTGAGGGAAGCCAGAAAGCCTCAACCTCCATCCCTCAAGCTGTGTAAATCTGCAGGCCCAGGCAAACAGGAGCAGGAGGACAGGAAGCTGTTTGCTGGCCCAAATCCCAAGTGGCACTGAGGTAAGACCTCCCCCACACTAACTTACACATAACATAATCCCACCCACACACTCTTTCCCAACCAATCTCATGCATCTATCCCCACACTCCTACATGTGCCCTTGTCCGCTTAGCTGCACTATCTACCCAGGGCCTGAATGCAGCACGAATAGGGAGATGCCCATGAAATGTACCATTTGGTGAAGGGGTTAATCTACTGAACAGTTGCTCGGCTAAACGAAAGTCGGTATGCATCAAGTATCAAAGGGGATACCTTTACACGCTACAACCCTGTGTGCTTGTGGGGGGGTCGAAATGGAGTGTTAACTCTTTGCCAGGGACCCCAGAGAGTCAGAGGGTTCCCCAGTTAACGATACAGACAGCGTGCTTGAGGCACCTGTCTGTCAACTCACTATTAAGGAAGACAGCTTTGTGGGGCAGTGTGACGGGTGGCGGTATGGAATCCGGGACCCCTGAGTGCCTGATGAGAAGTTGGGAGTCTCAGCGTGATAATGGACTATCAGGGCCTGGTGCAGGGTAACCACACGTCCTCTGGCGTTGAGCACCAGCGTTTGCGCGGCCACATACCAGAACCCTGATGCAGCTACAGCGAATCCCAGGAACTAGTAGCTTGATATGCAGACCTCCCAGGAACTGGATAGGCGGGCTCTGCAGCAGACATGTATCAAGTACAGAAACAAGGTAAGGCTAGGATAGTCACCAAACATGAAAACAAGACAGAAATAGTAGAACCCAGAACCAGAGAAGGAAAGACAAGATATGATAGGCAAAACAAGAGGAGAAATAACTAAGTACTATATATGAAAATCATGGGGATTTAGTCACATTATATGATCATACATTGCATAAGCCTGCCAACAACGCCAATGTACCCCATATCTGGCAGGTCCTACACTGCCTAATGTATGCTAAAACAACCAAAGAAGACATAAATAGTACTAACCTGCAAGAAAGGGCAGAAACAAACAGGCGTGGCAACATAAAACAAACATTTAAATGAATCCAAGAGACTGGGAAATCCAGGGACGGAATAAAAGAATGAACCCAGAAACCCAGCATAAAGAAAACCAGACATAGAACAGAAAACCAAAAAAAAACAAGAAAACTAAACAAGAATTGTAAAAAGAGTACTGGATACCAGAAGCCATTGCCAGAATGATCCGCAGCGAGGAACAGGATGTGACAGGCAGCTAGGCGTCCTACAGCGGCAGGACCTCGTGCAGCGATCTCCTCACCCTGGTTTAACCCGGAAGTGACAACACGAAACGGAGCAATGCCGAGGAGGAGTCTAGTGCCGATGGGGAGTCTTTATATCAGCACTAGCCCCTCCCATAACTTCAGGCTCTGCCATTACATATATCTATATATATATATGGTAGATTGAATTAGCCATATTAGTCCAGTAGACAAGATGCTAAAATACCAGAATATTGCAATATGCAATGATACCTTTTTTATTGTACTCACATAATATTTTAAAGATATTATTCTATATTTGTAACTTATACCTTATGATAACATAGAAAATATGACAAGACGGTTGTGGTGTGCCGAAACCGACGATGCGGTAGGCCTGTAATAAACAGGGCCCACCCTGAGGATAATTGTTATTAAAGGGAGCGGTGGGAGGGATACATTGCCAGACCAACAATGGTAATGAGGAGGGGTCTGACGGCCCTTAAGTAGGGAAATCATGCCCGTCTTCCATATATATGTATTTATTACTGGTATTTATTAAGCGCCAACAGATTCCGCAGTGCTGTACAATTAGTGGAGGAAGTATAATATACACAGACAAATACAAAAGGTAGAGGCCCACACTCTATTGATCCATCTCCTAACGGCGGCAAATTGTCTAATCCCAGTTAAATGGAAGAGAACCCTGGCCCCGTTAATAAGGGACTGGATCGGCAAAGTGGAATTCATATGGTCAATGGAAGAGCTGACCTATTCCTTGATAAACAAATTTGCATTATATACGGCAGTATGTCAACCATTAGACATGTGCAATTTATTTCAGTCTGAATGTAAATTCATACGAATTTTGGCACTTCGGACATTCGGATGCTTCCGAATGTCCAAATTGCTGAATTTCCGTAGTGCCGTATTTCGGAAGTCCTGAACCAAACCAAATTGCCCGAAGTGCAGAATTGCCAAAGTCCCGAATTGCCAAATTTCGGAAGTACCGAACCGAATTGCCGAAGTGCTGAATTTTGGAAGGGCCAAAGTGCTTTCAGATTTCTGAAAACTGGCAAAACAGGAGAGGGAGGGAAAATGAAGGGAATAATGACAGGAATCTTACCCTAACCCAACCCTTAAACCTACCCCTACAACTAACCCATAACCCAACTCCTACCTTGTATCTGAAGACAGGGATGTTATATCAAAATTGATAAGCTTTACTGTTTTAAGGAACCCTCGTTATACTGATGACTTTTAGTTCTATTTTCTTAAAATTTGTTAAGAAAGTATGTTATTCGTTACATGCAATGCTGAGTGCTGAGGAAAAATGCAGAGCTTGAGTATTGTGAGTGTGCGATGGATATGGAACAATACTATGAAGGTATTTATAGCCAGAAGGAGTATATATATCAATCTTGCATTCCATAAACAAAAATTTACTTGCCCGGTGCCCTTGTCAGCAAAATATAACGTAAGCCTAGGTTATTTGATGTATTGAACTAGGACTGCTTTTGCATTAAATCTATAATCACTTTGTTAAATTGATTTGCCAGCCACTAACTAAAAATTATATTCCCTGAATATTATGTTGTTGCAAATATTTATCCAATTGCGGTTTAATTTATCAAAGAAAAGAATCTTGAAAGATTAAAAACAGAGTGCTCTCTTACTTGAATGTTGGTCAAAAGATCAACATTGTCATAACCAGATCCACACAAGAACCCTTTCTAGTTGCCACTTGTATCAGTTATGACATGATGGTGCCATTTAACATTTTAAAAAATGGAGTTAATTGAGTCAATTCCCCTTGCTGAACTATTAGTCCCGCTATCCCAATTCCTATTTGGCTAATTAGGTTGTTTATAACATATCCTAACCCAGTGGTAGTCAACCCTTTTCTACCTACCGCCCACTAATGCAAGTGCGGAATATTTTTTAGAAAGGAGGGCGTTTAAAAAAAGAAAAATAAACGTACATTCATCTTTTTATTTCTACTTAATACATGTTTATAGTGTTTTTAACTTTATAAAGTTTAATGAGAAAACAATAAAGTAAATTGAAATTACCTTTACTAGTGATTAATGAGATCCTTGAGGTTGATGCTGCGAGACTAAATATTTGATATCTGGTTTCGATTTTCGTAAGGAACAAACGAAGGTGTCCTTTTTTGGTGATATTCAGACGATTTCTCTGTTTGCGCATAATATGATTTCTCATCTGTGCATCAGCTCCCCTCCTCTCCCTCCTCAATTCCTCTTCACCCTTTTTCCAATTTTTTAACCTTACTTATAGCAATCCCCAGTAGGAAGGCTGAGCTAGGTAGCCCACTTACTATAGTCCACTATAACAGGCAGGCACACATACAAGACACACATACAAACAGACAGGCACACACATAAATAGACACACAGACAGGCACACATACATACACACACACACACACAAACATACAGGCACACATACACACAGACACACACATAAGACATACATACAAAGACACACACACATACAGACATACACAAGACACACACACATACAAAAAGACACACACACACACATACAAAAAGACACACACACACACACAACACATACAAAGACAAGACACACACAACACATACATACAAAGACAAGACATACATACATGCAAGACATACAAAGACACATACATAAGACACACATACATACAAATACACATACATACAAATACACATACACACACACACACACACAAGACATACATACAAAGATACATACACACAAACAAACACATTATATTTAAGTCACCCTCCTGTTTCCTACCTTTAAGGTGCAGGAGGGTGACGTTCCCTGGGGTCCAGTGGTGGCTCAGGTGGATGGGAGTCAGAGTTCCTACTCTGACTCCCTGGTCTTCCTCCTGTGCGGCTCTCAGTGTTAGCTGGGAGGAGTGACGAGCAGTCACTTCCTCCCAGCTCTGTGATGTAAT